GGTGCATATGAACTTCCATAACTTCTTTTTCATTCTTCTTTTATTGAAAAATATAGAACAAATGGAATTCATGTAATTAAATAGGCATTAATATTTAAAGCTTGCTAAGGTGAGGAACTCTGTCTTTAACTTTTAGACTAAGTTTTGACATCCAATTCTTACTGTGGCTATAACTTCTCCATTGCCTTCTCTTCTAATCTCAACCACTGCTCCTTTTAAACCTCTTTTGCTTGCTACCACTCTTCCTTCTATCTCAACTTCTTCCTGCATTTTTATTTTGTTTTATCACATTTAAATAACAAGTATAGAATAATGCATGTTATATATCTAGAAAAGCTATAGAAGCGTGAATCTTATTAAATTTTGTTTTATGTTTATAATATACTATAAATTAAATAATCTAAATTCTAAATTCACTTTTTATGTTATATTAATTTAAATTAGTAAAACTTCGTGTAAAAAGATCTTATTGAATCAAATTTGTTATAAATATAATTGAAATCGAGAATTAAAAAATTCAAACTTGAATCTTGGCGGTGGAATAGAAAGAAGTGTTGAAATCAAGAGAGACATGGAGTCCATTCCCGGCGGAGTACACCACGGCGGCCCGGATCATGTCTATAACCGATGCAATAGCTCTGCCGTGCCAAACTCCATCCTTACCTTACGACTTATGTATATATATAATCACAAGAAACAAATTACTTATCTAAAACTTTTGAGGATTTATACATAGAGAGAATGTTACCGAAACTCGATCCGTAATGACTAATTTACACCGTAAAATCCCTTTTTCGATATGGATGATCTTGAGACCTTCAAGAATTAAAGACTTGCTATGGCCTTTTCCTTTAGCTACGTCTTGGATATACGTCGTGATACTTGAAATTGAGTCTACCATATTTCTTCTTCTTTTAATCACAAATTAACTATGGTGTATATGTATGCTCTTCACTTTCATTGTATATATGTAGTATATAAAATGTATTATATAATTGATCGGCATGTTCCATGGACTCCAGTTTTTTTTAATTTTTTTTGTTCTTTTCTCGCAAGATACCTTTCAGATTGTTTATTTATTAATAACATAGAGAGCACCTCTGAGAAGTAAACAGATTATGAACTTTTAAATTGATAATTAGACCCCCAACATTATTCAAATAGTTCAAAATGCTTAAGAAATAAGCATTTTAAGAAACGAAACTAACTTACAAGCATTTTTTAAGAAAATATTATTTGTAAAATTAATAATTTTATCGAACATATTTCTCATGTAAACAACAACAAAAAAAACAAATTTATAAATTAAAATAATGTTGAAGTACTAATTAACTAACAGTGTTTCTATCTTGTGTAAATATGTTTGGACCAAAAAACAAAATAGTTGAAGTGAAAATAAATCTAGCAAAGTAAATTACTTGGGGAAAAAACATTCTCACTCAGCAGACTAACATCAATAGCTCGACAAATTCTTCTGATCCACAAATTTCTTACATTATTCAAATGATGCAACATCATAATTTTTTAGTTTCTTCATAGTATACATGTGGCTATGAGTTATTCATCTCATCCTCTTCGAGATCTCAATTACTGCAGAGTTTAGATCTTTCTATCTTCCCTGTAACTATTGATGATTTTCTTCTATCTTTACCTTCTTCCTAAATTTTCTATATCACATTAAATATAAAACAAAATACTAATGACATGTGATTTGACTAACACTTCGGAGAATCGGTGCTCATGTTTCGATTAAATTAGATATGTCTAAATTAATTTTATTGATACGAACCAAAGAAAAAATAAATCATTTTGTTCCTCTAATTGGCTATGAACTCCACTATTTCTAGGATGATCGAATCTCCCATATACATATATCCTCTTTGGTATTATTACATAATTTTATAAAGCTTGTGTATTTATTATACACACATACACTAATCACAACTCACTTGTTAAATGCGGTATTAATTAATGGGCTTGTCCTATTTTAACCAAATTATTTTCGTTGGTTGATAAACAGCTAAGATCAAAATGAATCTTAATTTGCTTGGTTTTTTCTTTGTTAAAAAAATTTCTTGGTTTATTCAGATTTTTTTTTTAACTATAACACTTGCATGGGAAATAGGTGGATTTGATAGGAATCCACAGCCTCTATATGAGCCAAGCAAGGAACCAAAAGACTTTTTTGAAGTTATATTTATCATTAAAATCTTTTGAGTTTCCATATATTATGTGTACATTTTACAAGCTCCTTTTTATTTACCGCTGCATATTTTGGAGATTTCGTTTTTATAAATAGCTAATAATATTTTTGTGAATGGAAAGAGGGAATTCAAAGAAAAATGAATGAACTTTCTATAGTTAATTACTAGAATTAGTTACAGTTAATGGTTACCAATTCGATTCAAAAGCTTCCATATATAGTATAAATGAACGTTGGAAAATTAAAAGTATTCGTACGCATAGAGCACTAAAGAGACCAGTTAAAAGATTCTTCAATGGAAAATTCTAGACCGGCTATTATGTAATTTTGGTCTATGATACTAGCTGGGTCATGTATATATAGTCCACATAAAAAACAAATGAGTTTTTGAGGTTATATTTTATCGTTAAAATCTTTCATAAATTATTCTGACACAAAATAAACTTGCTTTCTGAAATTTGTTGAGTGCTTCACATATCTCAATATTGTTTTACTTTCTGTCTACTTTCAAACGCTTAAGAGATCAGAAAAGATAAATATATAACAAAAGGATAATTTCATTTAAACTAATTAGGTTACCAATTATTCAAGATATA